TTGTCGATATGTACCAGTTGAGCAGCAGCGAGAGAGGTAAACAACAAATCAGTGGAATTTACAATGCATTCTGGGAATTGTAGTTCTTTCTCCAACTCAAGTGAAAATGTGTTTTCTTTAGCGGAAAAGTGGTTTGAGGAAAATCAAAACATTCTGTCCCAAACTTTCATAAAGCACCTCAGTCATACAAAGATAAAACTTTCAAATCCGGATTTTAATATTTATTGATTTATTGTAAAATATGTTATTTTAAAAGTTTTTTTTGTTTGTTTGTTTCCACAAAACGCTATATATGCAAGGAATCAATATAAATGTTTTTTTGTTTTGTTTTTATATGGAAAGGTTCAAAATCAATAACAAACAACATTGCTCTTGAATCAAGTTGCTGGTTGTTCCAAACACACAACAAAACAACCATGGAAATAGTTGACATTAATTTGCAGGGTTTCCATTCTCTACAATTTTAAAATCCAAATTTTAAATTTGCTTTTCTGGGTCTTAAATAATTTTTCAAATGTCTTAACTTCACTTTCTGTGTTTGAGACAGATTTCCCAGCATGCTCCCATTGCAACCACAAATAAAGTAATTTTTATAACGTTTTAAAACTATGAAAACATTTAATGTTAGTTTTCCTGTAAAAAGTATACGGTTATGTCCTAAATCCTCTAAAATCTCATTGAAATCGTTGAAGATTGATTGATTCATTGAAATTGAAGATTTTTAAATAAAAAATGTGCCTTGTTGGCTGATGGATACGCTCATAAGATGAACCTCTTTATAAAATACATATAAAATTAGGAAAATTAAGAAATGCATCGTTTTGTGTTAAATGTCATACATATCTATTATTTTCTGAATAAATTATTGTAAAACTAAAACAAAAAGCTATAGAATTCATATTATAGCCTTGTGCATGACACATGTATGACTGCATTTGCTGATCCTTTACAACCATTTGGCTGCTAATCTGAAGTTCTTCTCAAGTGTTAGTAACTAATGATATTTCAAGAAACAAAACAAAACATCTATCTGCGTGATTTTTTTTTTCTATAAGTAGTTGGTGGAGAAAACTTTGTAATTTTTTACAACTGTTCACAATCAAGCTGCAGGTATTGTTTACATTTTTAGATTTAGTATTGTATGCAATAGTTTATTGAAAGTTTATTAGATCTTGGTTAGGTCTAAAATTTGGTTCTTAATGGTCTGACAAAGTCTTAACCGTGACATTGTGAAGCTTTGAGAAACCCTGCCACCCTTTCTTTAACAAACAACTCATTTTAAAAGACACACCATGCAGCATGTTATATTCTCTTGTTCAGATGCTCTTAACGCCAGAGGAGCATGGCAGGGATGTGCTGGTGAAACCAGGCTCCACTCAGGCTTGGTAGACCAGCATCACAAAGTGCTGGTGAGTGGGCTTCCTGTAGGAGTTTCTCCAAACAAGATGAAGAACAAGCTCACCATATACTTCCAGAGGAGGCAGAATGCAGGAGGAGAGGTTCTGAATGTCACGTACCCAGCAGCACAACCCGACCAGGCCTGCGTGCTCTTCAGAAACCAGAGAGGTGCTGGTTCTGGTAATGCCTTAGAAACGGTGTTGCTTCCTTCAGTATGGTTAACACATGTGCTCTTCTCAGATGCAGAGCATGTGCAGAGAACACCTCGCAGGATGATTGTCATTAATGAAAAGCAGTTTTTTGTCCAGCTGAAGAAGTTTGAGGAGATACAGGTGAGAAGATGCATGTGTTTTTCTTTTTTTTTTTTTTTCTTTTTTTTTGGGGGGGGAAGATTGCACTGATTTTTACTTCCAGATCCCGGCCAGCATCCACAGTGAGAAGGAAGAAATTTTTAGGAGCATCCTGAGTTTGGAAGGATGCAGTTTCAGCTCCTCGGATGTAGTGGAAGCAGTGCAGTCCTGCAGAGATCTTCCGTCTGCACTGAAATACCTCTGCCATGATTGCCCTATTTGCCAGGAGCAAGTGTCCTTCAACAGGGTGAGGGGAAGCTGTATTGTACCATTACCGTTGCGGAAGAAAACTTTAGTGTGATTATTTCAGAACCTGTTTGGTAAAGATCAGTTTTCGTGAGTGCCGCTAGTTTTTCCTCCGATTGCGTAACGTTGTATCCATTTCCTCTTCAGATGATCACCATGACACACTGCTCTTGCACTTTCTGTGAGAGCTGTTTCAAGAAGTACTTCTCCTCTGTCATTAAGGAGAAAAATATTGTCCATGCGGTGTGTCCTCTTTGTAATCTTCCTGATGTCCGAGCCGGCCGCAGGGAGGACACCATGGAGTACTTCAGTCTGCTTGACACACAGGTCATGAGCGTTCTTCTCCTTATGCCATCTGGTTTCTTATAATTCTCCATATATATTTATATCTTTAGATCAGGTATTATTTGGAGCCGCACATCCATGAGCTGTTCCAGAGGAAGCTCAGAGACCGGGCACTGCAGGAAATGCCAAACTTCCGCTGGTGTGCTCATGTAGGTTCAAAGATTATTTTTTTTTTTGTCAAATTTGGTACATTTTACTCAAGTTGAGTATTTGAACACCATCCTCTCAAAGGGGTTAAAGAGTAAACATCATATAGAAATATATATTTTTATGACATCACTGACAGCTCCCTAGCAACAAAACTGTTGACCCTAGCAACCAACATTTCTGATATCTTTCTCAGCTTTGGTAAATCGTAGAGACTCGGGGGTTGGCTTATTTAACTTGCTGTGACAAATACAACATTATATTATGTTACTGACCCATCCCAAGCAACCAGTTTACCATAGCAACTAATTTAGGATATCTATATCTCAGATTTGGAAAATCATAGAGAAATGGGGGTTGGTTTATGTTACAGTGACATTGGGAACATTCACTTATGTCACTGACTTCTCCATAGCGACTATACTTTTTACCCTAGCAACCAAATCAGCAGAGCTAAAATAGCATGTGAGGTTAGAAGGGTAAGAGTCTGATTTTATCGCATAAAATCTCAGTCGTTGGTGCGTTTATCTGTTGTATTGATACGGTTGTGTTGCTGTTTCTTTAGTGTTGCTTTGGGCTCCTTCATGAAGCAGATCGGCTGAGGGTGGACTGCCCCAGTTGTGGGAAAAGTACATGTTTTCAGTGTAAAAGGCCGGTAGGTTCTGCTTTACGCTGAAAAATATACTTGTACACAAATTAAATATCCATTAATGCTTAAAATGTGTTTTTATTCAGTTCTGATTGACTGATGTGTATTTCTGTTACTTGATTATTTTTATTTGCAGTAAGGTTATGCGATTGTTTGCTAGAACTTTTTCTTAAGATTAAAAATCGGAAGAGGCCACAGCAAGAAAATCGAATGACTTATATTTTCTATGGATGCATTGCACACAAATGCTTGTTTTGCAGTGGGCTCAGCAACACGAAGGAATCTCATGTGAGAAGTTCAAGGAATGGGAGCAGCTCAACAGCCCAGAGTATCAAAGCTCAAGGCTGGAGCAACTCCTCAGCAGGAACAAAATAGGTGATGCACAAAACCTTGGTGCACAGTACGTCACTGGAATTCTCCCAACTTGTGATGTTCTTCCCCCTTTCAGACTGTCCAAAATGCAAATTCCGCTTCTTACTGGCAAGAGGAGGCTGCTTGCATTTCAGGTGCACTCAGTGCCAACATGAATTCTGTGGAGGATGCAGTCAGCCATTTAAACAAGGCTCGGTGAGTTTAGTTCTTGTGCTATTTGACTCTCTCTTTTAATCATTTTCCAAGCATCTGTTGTCCTTGCAGGCCTGTAGTTTTTCCATAGATTGTGCAGCGAAGGGTTTACATGCTCACCATCCTCGAAACTGCCTCTATCATCTGAGGGACTGGAGTGTCCCAAGATTACGAAGCGTACTCCAGGTGGCAGACCTCTACAAACTTAACTAAACTAGTATTAAATACAATTAAACTGACTGAATTATCTCTATTCATGTTTTCAGCATTATGGAGTTTCACATCCTCTCATGTTTTGCTCTAAAGGTTCAACAGCGATGCAATCCAAAGGTATCAAACATTTATCTACTACTTTTTTTAAGTGACGTTTAAACATAGAGAGGGAATGTTTTGATTTTAGTCTAGGGGGAGTCTGAATTCTTGTACTTGCTTGAATAAAACAATCCTAAATTAACAAATAAAAACCACTCGAATCAATTTTATTAGCCCCCTTTTTAAATGTAATCTAATTTGCTTGATAGTTAGGAGCCAATGCGCCCAATGGGAGCCATTTGCTTGTTGTAACTTGTCAAAATTTCCTTTTTTAATTGATTTCAAAACAGATTCAAAAGCGTACATACTCACGAATTCCAAATGGGTATTAGTCCATCTTAAGGAACTTATTTAAATGTTTTATCAGATTTATAATCAAACGATGGGTGCTTATTTTTTTTTCTTGTTACGAACCCTCTTCTTAATCTTTATATAAGTAACAGGACTTTGTTTTCAGCAAAGAATTAGCAGATGCATGCTAAATAGCCACATGATGATAGGAAATTCTGCAGAATTCACTTATTTACCAAATATTTGCATTTTTACACTATTTAAATCTCTGAAATAGTAACATAGTAATTTTAAAATGACGCTCCAAGATATCATCACAAAATCATCAAATATGTAAATGAGAAATTTATAAAGCCCATGGCCTTTTAAAGATCCAAGTGATGCAACTTCCTGCAGAATAAAACTCATTATGGAAATTGTCCAGTTTTTCAGGAGGGGGATGGGTAACAGGAATGCGTAAAAAGCTGGGGACATGACTAAAAAGTTTTTTTTTGTTTGTTTTATAGTATAGTTTTAAAGTATAGATATTTGTGTAAATAAATGTATTTGAAACAAATATCATATAAGGATTTACATATCAATGGAGAAGGAATGTTTTATGGTGAAGTGTACCATCAGAGACTGGGCACAAGAAATAAATGCTATTTTTCACTGTTATATGTGGATTTTATTTATAACTTAAATTTGTAACAAGAAAAGGTTCCTGTGGCTTAACTGGTAGATCATTGCGCTAACAACGCAAAGGTTGTGGGTTCTAATCCTGAAGAAAGCAAGAACTGACAAAAAAAAAATCTGTTCATTCAAATGTAAGTCACTTTGGGTAAATGCATCTGGAAAATGCATAAATGTAAATGAAAAGTATGTAGTACACTTTGCTTAGTACTGAAATGTATTTATGAAGAAATTTTAATGTTTATTTATGCATACAAAGTCCAAGGGACATGTGGTGGAATGGCTCTTAAACATTTAAATGATGCTTTAAGCGCAGGACTAGTATCTTTCAAATAGTAAAATAACAAAAGTGTTTATCCAAATGGTTCAAACGCTGGTGAGAAGCATTATAAAAGACCAACATAGTGGAGAAGAAGAAAGAAAATTAGAGAGAGAGGTTTCTAAAGACCCAAGACCAACTTCCATGTTAGTAGTGAATGACTTAGACAAGTGTGGAATGGAGACCAACAAATCTGGAGAGATTTGCTCAGGAAAAATGGACTATTGTTCCTTCGGAGAAACGCTTGAGACTTGTTGAGATTAATTACAAACACTACAATCTCCCTGTATAAACTATTGGTTGAAATGTGTTTATGAACTTATCTTTCTGTTGCACATGTGTTGGGAAATATTTTTGAAAAGAGTCATTTAAAAGGGGGCTTTTCATCTTTTCATCTATTCATCAACACAGATTCACCATTCGCTCGGTTCAAATGATAATTTCAGGTTTCATTTTTGGAATTTGTACAGAGTGATTCTAAAGATTTTATCTTATTTACATTTACATAATTCTGACTCACTTCTGTTAACATAAATGTATTTTTAAATGCTTAACCTGTAGGCATTTGTGGTGTGATGGAGTTCCAGGAAACTGGAGCTGTGAAGGAGGAGCCGTGTGGGCGACAAGCTTTCCAAGAGTACAGCGGTTACTGCATGTAATGAACACGTGTTTTGGTTTCTGCCAAAAACCTTCGTTATCAAAAATACAGCAAACTCTAAAGTTTTTCCTCGAATCTGCAGGGTACATTATAAAGAGCTTCTGGTGGAGCTCATAAACGCCAATGGTCTGGACCCTGTAGTGCTGTTGGATAGTACAGAGCTGCGGACAGAAATGGAGCGTTGGAAAGTGCCGGTCCCTGACAGACAGCCTTCAGAAAAAGATCAACAGTACGAGGGAAGACTTCGACAGGTCAGTGCAGGTCATAGCAGTTGATTTATTGTGTAGAAACAGGGTTTTTTCACAGTTCAGTTTTGAAAAACCTTAGGAAAAGGGGGGTGGCCAGCCATTAATTGTTGAGATGGTTTGCATAAAAAGATGTGTGTATAAAACACTGCCCATTTTAACAGTTTAACTTTTAAAACCCAAATTTTAGGCCTCATACATTTAATTAAATTTGCCGTCTTCCAATATTTTTACAGCTCTCAACTTTCCGACACAAATCCAGATTGAATGTGCTTGAGACAGACTTCCCAGCATGCATTGCTGGAGTCTGTACATTGGGTTGTTTAACAAAGATGGCTGCCATAGCAACCACAAAATACTAACTTTTGATTTTTAAAACGGTTTTGAAAACAATCGTTTTACGCTTTCATGTTAAAAATACACGTGTCTAAAAATGTCATTGACATTGTAAAAAAAAAAGAAAGTTTTACTTGATAAATGCACCCTTGTTAGCTGTACAACAGTAATGTTTTTCAATGGATTTGCTCATGAGCTTAACGTTTTTTTAATACACCACATTTTAGAAAGTTACAAATTTTTAAAAATCCATTGTTGGATTGGTGCATATCTATTGTTGTCTGAATATGTTATTGCAAATCACAAAAATGCTAGTTTTCAAAAACATATTTAGATTTATAACATTATAGATTCACAATATAGCCTTGTTTATAACACATGTTTAGAAAATTAAATGTACAAACGACCAGACCTGATCCTTTATTTGGTTGCTAATCTAGTTGTTAATCTTTTCAAGTGTTAACAACTAATGATATTTCAGGAAACAAAACATTCACTCTTTTTCTTCTTTATAAGATTTTGTTGTTTTGTCATTTTTTTCCATCTGTTCAAATTTTTTGAAGCTGCCGGTATTTGTTGGATAGCTTCTACGCAATAGTTTTTTAGAGTGATTTTATGGTTAGAATTTATGGCAGTTTGCAGATAAATATAAGTATGATGCAGGTCTTAAATTTGGTTCTTAATGGTCTTTAAAAGTCTTACATATTGGCGGTGTAGAAGTGCTTTTTGACTTTAATAAATATGGTCTCTGGTGACCATCTCATTGTTAACAGTAGGAGCACAATCAAACAGCTGCATATAATGTGGTCCCAAAAAAGAAAGTTACATGTAATTTAAATTTGTTTATTTCCGTTAATGATTGTCCCATTCCTTACCAAAAAAATACATACATGCAAGCAAATGGAAAATCATCAATGATGGCAAACGTAAGCTGAATTGTGTTTTTGCACACAGTTGAACAGGAATGAAAACAATACTTTCGTATCGCCACATTTGCCAGCAATACAGGTGGACTCCAATCGTATGCAAATTTACAGGTTTAAGTGGTTCTACTTCAGCAAGAATCAAAGGAAAGGTGTACAGAACAGTAGTGAGACCAGCTATGATGTATGGGTTAGAGATTGTGGCAGTGAAGAAGAGACAAGAGGCAGAGATGAGGATGTTGAGGTTCAGTTTAGGAGTGACGAGGATGAACAAGATTATGAAAGAGCACATCAGAGGGACAGCTCAGGTTGGTTGTTTTGGAGACAAAGTCAGAGAGGCCGGATTGAGATGGTTTGGACATGTGCAGAGGAGGGATAGTGGTTATATTGGTAGAAGGATGTTGGAGATGGAGATTCCAGGCATGAGGTCAAGAGAAAGGCCAAAGACGAGATATATGGATGTGCTGAAAGAGGACATGAAGGTAGTTGGTGCAAGAGTAGAGGATACCGAGGACAGAGTTAGGTGGAAACGGATGAATCGCTGTGGCGACCCCTAAACTGGGAACAGCCAAAAGAAGAAGTGGTTATCTACTTAAATGTGATAATAAAAATGTATATTTGATCGGGTATTGGAATGCTGTCTTTATCTATTCGCTCTTTCAAGACGTGATCCAGCTTGGTTTCAGAGCCGTGTGATCGTTGCGTACGAATGAAAACAATGCTCTCATGAATATTCATGTTGTTTTAACACATTCATCCTGTGATTGGATAGCTCTTAGTTTTGTCTTCCGTGGTGATAGACCCAGGCAATATTAGATTGTTTATAATATATATTCTAATCATTTATCATATATTCTCACAGAGGCTGAAAGAGCAGGTGGTTCTAACCAGCTGTGCAGCTCCGGACCTGAATAAAGCCGCTCCTCCAACACCTTCACCCTCCTCTCCTCCAACAGCAGGACAACCGTGGTACTCAGTTTTGTATCGGCCTGTAGCTGAGGATTCGCAACATTTGCTCCTGCTCTCTGACTGATCAAAGAAGGGATGGATCCAGTCATCATGAGGATTTTCTAAGCATTCATCTGTTTTAGGTTATCCATAAAGGTACCAGTATTTGTCTGTTTTTATTGCACCGGAGGCTCTACGTACTATTTAACTCTCTTTTGTCAAAACTAGGGGCATTCAAATTTTCTCTCATTTTTTGTTGAGCTCATTTTAACTGTTTTTTAATGTTAAGTCTGTCTGATAAAGTACTGAGCACATGCTTGCACTTTAGGCTGTAGTGAAATGCACAGTAGCACGATGTGAGTGGAATAAGACTTGACGATGTGAAAAGCTGTGAATATATATATATAACATTTATTTTCCCACTACCTTTCCTACTTTTACCATAAAGATGTATGAGAAGATGTGATTACTAAAGGGTTTTTCAAAACAAATGGCAGTGTTTCCTCAGACAACATCTACATGACACTGGGTTGGACAAATTAACCTGTGATTTATTCGAAACAGACTAATATGTCTCGGTTATTTGCGTAATTCTTCATTATCTGAAAGTAATGAAGATGTTATATTGAATGACTCGACGAATCCACTTTATAAAGTTACAGTTGTGCTCATAAGTTTACAAAATCCTGGGAAAAGATTTGATTTCTTGGTCTTTTTTTTCCTTTTTTTTCAGAAAATATGAATGTAAACACATTCCCACTCATAGTTATTTATTGTCGAACAAGTGTAAAATCTCTCATTTGAAATCATAGCAGAAACTTTTTAAATTACTCTGATCAAAAGGAATAGTTTATATCGCCCCCTTTAACATCAATGACAGCCTGAAGTCTCTTGGGGTAGTTGTTGGTGAGGTTTTTTATCTTCTCTGTTGGCGAAGCAGCACATTCTTCTTAGCAAAAGGCCTCAGACTCTTGTAAAATCTTGCATGATCTGCACGTTTGAGTTCTCTCCAGAATGTTACAAGGATATAGATGACCGGAGACGAAGATGGCCAATCCAGAACATTCTCCTTCTTCTGGTGAAACCAGTGCTTTGGATTGTTGTAGTGTTGAAATGTCCAGTAAATTTCCATGTGCAGCTTCTGGGCTGATGAGTGCAAATTTTCCTCCAGTTTCCTTTGATAACATGCTTCCTCTCAGTTTTGACCAAGCTCACACCTCCGTGCTTCACAGTGGTGATGGTGTTCCATTCATGTTGACTCCTCTCCAAATATAACGTTTATGGTTGTCCAATTTTGGTCTCATTGCTGCAAATGACTTCGTTCCAGAAATCTCTGAGCTGTTTGGTCACTTTGCGTTGTAATGGCCTTCTTCTGGCAACTCGACCAAGCAACCCATTAATTTTCAACCCACTTATTGTCCTTTTTGATACGGTCACGCTTCATTTATCAGCTGAAGTTATTTGTGGGTTTTTCTTTGCATCCCTTACAATTTTTTCTGGCAGTTGTAGCAGATATTTTTGTTGGTTTCAAAATAATTCCTCACTTTCCACTTCGTCCACTCCCAGCTCCTTGGGAATCTTTTTTTATATTCCTTTCCTGTTTTGTACAAAATTTTTCCTGTAGATCCTTTGACGGGTTGTTTGCCATCAGAAAAGTCAGCGCATCACTGG